CCTACATGAATTTGATTTTTGCCTCACTTGTGACAGTTCGTTTGATATGAAACTATCATTCTATGCGTTATTATTCTAAGTATATATATAACTTTTTTTAAAAGAGATCTTTGAAAAGTTTGCGGAATTACATCTATTTGCCAAGTTACCGGGAGGTGAATGAAAATGCACTGGATTTATCACCTAATTTGCCACCCCAGAGGTGCAATATTTTCTTCAAATTTCAATGGAACCATTACCACCATTATATCCATTAGCCCCCCTTCCAATAATGTGAAATTACCAACACACACACATGGAACTTGTCAACTTATACGTCATAGTGAGACAGACGCAGTGGCAGTGTCGCTCAGATCTTTGCGCACTTTTTTTTTTGGCACTGCAACTGTTATGGACGTGCGTGTCGCTTACCACCAGGCGCACGATTTCTTCGTTCCGTTCCTTGATATTATAAAAAAAAACTATAACCAAATAAATTTCAAAATGTACGTTTAGAGTGAAAATCTTGTGTGTACGCGTTTTCACATACTTCGTTTTAACTGATTTTTGTTGAAGAAAAACTTATATAAATTCTTGCTCAAATACATTATTAAGTAATAGAGAATCTGAAAGAGGCGTAACTTAACTAGTTAAAATGCTAAACTACCTTTTAAACCACATTTTTATCTTTGTCCTTACAAATCCCATTCGAAGTAATCACTCTAAGACGACGTATATACATACAAACGTAGAATCTATATTAAAAGCCTTTACGCGTCATTTAAGTTTCCGCCTATTTAATAAAATGTCATTCAGCTCTTGAGTTACGGTCCAAGATCGTTTAATCAATCAAGGATATTAATCACTTCAGATGATGTCATGTTTAGTAGAAGTAGGGCACGTTACGAAAGAGTTTATTCAAGAAGTACATATCATAGCTATTTCTGCCGCCAAACAGTGATGTGAATAATAATAATAATGAATAATAATATTTCTTCAATATTGGACTTGACTGACTCTTCTTGACGCTATCGGCTTAGAGTTGAATTTAAATCTTAATTGTCGAGCTTGACGTTCTCTTACTGCGTATACACATTTAAACGTGAAACACACAGAGAGCGGGTGCGGGTTGTGTCGAGACCAGAACGATTCAAAATTCGTTAACAAGTGGCCAGGACCAGAGAAAAGGTGATAAAAAAGCGGAATATCGCCTCTCCCATTTAAAAATTCAAAATTATCTTTTAGACCTCGGGAGAGGCGAGAGTCTTAAATAGATATAATAATAATATCGCACACACTCAATTTTTTCCGTCTGGTCCTGTCTTCAGCCTCTCTCTGGGCAATTGTTATAGGGAGGACAGTGAGGGCGGTCACTTGGTCATTCCATTAGCTAGGCGATCGACCGCGGAGTCTCTTTCCCTCCACATAATACACCACAACGAGTTTGTCAAGGTTGTCTGGTTGTTGGCGACCAATAATTTAGTAGCACCAGTAGTAGCAGTAGAGCTCCTTGTGAAAGAGGTCGTCCAGGGAAGTAGAGCCACCTTACCTATTTCTGCCGCCAAGCAGTAATATCAGCATTACTGTGTTCCGGTTTTGAAAGGTAAGAGTGCTGGTGAAATTATAGGCACATGGTACTTGTCAACTTATGTCTCAGGGTGACGGGCGCGGTGGCAGTGTCTCTCAGACCTTTGCGATTTAAAGCTCTGAGTGGCACTGCAACTGTTATGGACAGGCGTGTAGCTTACCGTCAGACGCACGACTTGTTCGTCCCGTCACTTTATATAAAAAAAAAACATTTATTATATGAAATCGACATGAAAGCACATCACTAATAACTGAAGGCAATAACGTGTCAATCATGTCAACCAACCAGGTCGATCGAATAATTTTGCGAAAATGACACCTAAAAATTTTTGATATAGTTTGTTCTAAAATTTACTTGTAAAAAGAGAACTTTTGCTGTTGCATTGGGAAATTATAGGTGAGAGGTGACACTTCGAAGAGGTGACAACAAAAAAAGTTTATGTTTTACAACTAAAGTTTAGAACAAACTATTAAAAACAACGAAAGTATCTTTAGGTGCCCATTTCAAAAAAACTGTGATCATATTAGTTGACACGTTATTGCATATCAGCATCCAAGTATAAACTTGGCTCGATTACGCCAATATCCGTCAGGCAAATTTCAATCACAGCTTATAAGCACCCCGCAAACGATCAAATAATTTGTCAAATTTATCCTTTAAATTTCAGGTTCTTTTTTCCAAACAATGCCGCAAACGGTCAAATAAACCATCAAACAAGTTTGACAAACTTGCCTGTAATTCACTCTCGGTCATACAATGACATATCATTCTACAGTTCGTATGTACCGTACATAGTCATACCGTACATAATCATACCTCTTAGAATAACAGGTGAAGCGTTTTTGGTATTAACTCTAGCATTATGGTATTAAGAAAAAATAAACAGACGTAGGTCTAGAGAATTATTGACATTCAGAGAAAATATAAAATATTGTATTAAAATTGAACTGCGTGCGGTTAGGTATTTAATGTGGTGTTAGTGATTGTCTGTCAATGTAGTGTCTAGTTGTATGCAGCAAATACCAACCGCCTGCTGTACATGAATTTATGGTAAGATAATAACTACTCTATCAGAATCTAACCGAGAGACCTCAAGGGTCGTCTTACGATCTATCAAGTGTAGCCCTACAACCTAACGGTGTGTAGCCTAACCTAACCATAAATATATAAATGGAGAGATATATCGTGTAAGTAAGGAAGTCTGTCACCAGGAGACCTAAGGTGACAAACGGAAGTTGGGAAGGAAATTAGGATGTACACGTCGTGCGATGTGTACAGGTATGGTTTTCTCACTGCCGGTCAAGCAGACTCACAAGACCGATCTACTGATGGCTAAAGGTGTCTTGGCCACAGTGAGAGGAGTAGCAGGTAGTACGTCACTAAGCAAGGAGATGAGTTAAAATCAGATGGTATTGGTCAACTAACTCTATTTACAATATTTACTGACTATTTATACAATATTTGTTTATACTACATTAATATTAATAAGTTTTCTTAGTGTGCTATGGGTGTTATTGATGACTAGATTGATTTTTGTTAATTGGCATAGTACGTGACTATGCTGCATTTGTTGCAAAAGAATGATCTGTTGACGAGGCTAGTTTTTGTAGCATTTTATTCGAGGTCGCTATTTTGCAGTTTCTTCGTTGTTTATATTATGTTCAACCTTGAACAAAAATATTAATAAGAAGTATTGCCTACAGAACCATAAAACACGCCGTCAATCTAGATTTCCATCAAACACGTAGATTATTTGACAAACGCATTAAACACAACCGATCTACCGAAAAAGGGGGGTCTACTCTCTCGATCTCCATCCGACATCCGTCCGAAACAATTGCTGACAAATAAACAATACTTGACCAAGTGAAAAGACGCGTGATGCGTTTGAAGCTTTATACTTGATACTTGTCTTTTAATTTTGTCGAAAATTACTTATTTGACAGTCATTGTTTCGGACGGATGTCGAAATTTGACAAACACGTAAAATTTGACAAATCGGTCACGGGGCGCAAAACTCCTCCTTCATAAACGTTGAAAGATGTTGATTTGGTACTCTCGCCACAAATGAATGAAAATTCAATAAATAATAATAATGAATGCAATAATAATTCGTTTCCAATCATATAATAATTATTATTATCACCAAACTTGTAATCTTATAATAATAAATTAATAGACTCAGGCGTTACTTTGCGGAAGTCCAAGGAAGTAAAAATCATGCAAAAATGTGAATTCACTGGGTTCGCGGAGGACCAATTAATTTACTTTTATTTTTTAAATAATAAATTATTGGAACAATGATTATTTATTTTGATAATTAATATGAGTTCTCAGATTTTTTCTCACGTTATCCAGGATTTCCTGACCACACAGTTTTTTCCTTTTATTTAAATTCCAATTTATTCAAGTCGTTTTATCCCTTGTTACAGCTGCACTCGGAATACCGCAGCACTTACCGATGGCACGAGTTCAAACAGCAACAGCAGCAGCAGGATGGCGTGGTCAAGCAACCGGCCAAGACGCCGCCTTCTGCATTGCCTCTGTCGAGAGGTGAGTTTACCAAGAGCTGGAAGACGCATTGCGTCATTACCCAGTAATAGCGTATTTCGTTAGCGGGCTTTACACAAATACTCTATCGCGCGCGATACATCGTGTAATCGCAATACAACACGCGCCAGTTTCACGCGGTCAATCCTACGCTATTAGCCTTTACGTTGTAACAAAAACGAACTCGAGCAATCGCGCGCGAAAGACCGTTAGCGTACAAAATTTCTAACAGAATAGATAACTTCGCGCGATTCCGCGTGCAGGCTTTTTCCATACGTAATCCTGTACGCTCCTAATCACGCGCGATAGAGCGAGTGTGTAAAGGGGGCTATTATGTCCCAACAATAGCGTGTTTCATTGTCACTTACGACCTAACACTTGCCCAAAATAGATGACCATATTAATAACCTGGAGAAATAAAGTATTTGTTCGCTAAAAACACAAAAATTTGATTGATCTAAATGGTTTTCTGAGCCCATCTCTGTGGATGTATGCGACAGATCTGTCCAGGCCAGTCCCATTTTAGCTTGGCAAGCCTTTTCCCTATATTCATCTCTTCGAATGCAGAGCAGTGTTCCGAAGTGTAGCCATCCTCTTAGAACAGTTGTGCGCCATTTAGGCAGGATTTTGTACGTTTGGTATTCTGATAAAAGTTAACAGTAAATGTCAACGACTTACCATCGAGCTACTACACAACGGCCATAGAATTTTTTTGTTTTTTTCTACTCTTCTATGGCGTAGTGCACTAACATTATAAATTATATATTAAATTGCTGATAAAGGGAGATAAAAATTAAGATATGTATAGTCATTTCCATTTTAGTTTTAGTAATGCAACATCAATCGTTAGTGATTGCATGAATTAATGCTGTCACTTCCATTCCATCAATGACACTGTATTGAGCTTCAACTGCCATTGAAACTAGATTATAGCAGAATAGCAAATATTATTATAATTGCAATATAGTCTCAATGTAGAGACATTAGCAGAATTGGGCACTTGATATGCTGCATTCCATCGCTCGTCGGCATACTTTGATCGTTGACAAGTCTTGAGCTTTTGATTTTCGGTCAGGGACCATGTTTGCGCTCCGTAGGTAAAGACGGGTAGAATTTTCAACCAGTCGTGCACCTGGTGGTAAGCGACACGCCTGTCCATACCAGTTACTGTAACTGAGCCAGTCAGAGCTTTAAATCGCAAAGATCTGCGGGGCACTGCTACTGTATTAGCGTTTAGGGGTAGTTTCAAATATTCGGCTTCGAAATGCTGGAATAATATTCCACCACCTTATACGTGACGAGTCATCTTTACCGGCAACACCTACTCTGTTTGCAAAAATCTGTCTAATTTGTTGAAATGTTAATATTAATATTAGTTTTCGTATTCCCATGTACTCTTCTTCGTAGCCTTTCTAAATATACATTTTTTACCTTGATTTATTACACCAAAACATATTCTCGATCATTATTTTCACTTACAGTTACACTTAAATGTAGATTCAAATCCGCACATGCACTTACATGTTGAATAGGTTAGTTTAGATGCACTATTCACACACAACAACAATTTCCCTCCTAATCGTTTACTAGGTCTTTCATTACAAATAACTTCTAGATTTAGTACCTCTCGTTGGTTCTAACTGAAAACCAGCGCCTTAAGGAACGTATGCATATGGTGTGCCAGCGCCATTTCACTACTATGACAAAAATGTTTTATTTTCCCTGTTGTATTCAATCTTTATTTGTGTCATACTAGTGAATAAAGTGTTTATGTATCTATCTATCTATTATTCTGGGACATAAGTTGAGAATTCCCTTTCACCCTTCAAAACCGGAATGCAGTAATGCCCACATTACTACTTGACAGGAAACTAGAAACTAGAAACTCTACTGCTATGAAAGATAGTCATGGATGTCGACGAGTTTTTGCTTAAGTGTGACTGGAAGGCTTTCTTTCATCAGCTCTTTCATTCACCTGTAGCTCTTCCAAGTGTTTACAATTAACTTGCCTATTACTGAAAGAGACTACCTTCTTCATCGTGTCTATCACTCAAAATCTGCCCATTTCTAAACCCATGTTTTATTAAACGTGTGCTTTCAGGCAACATGGAGCCAGCAATGCCTCGCCGGAAGAAGTATCCTGGTGTTGCGTACAAGAGCAACGAATTCTTTGATCCGGCGCCGGCCGATGATATCCGGCCACAGACCACTTCCGGTTTCGATCGGGCTAGGGTAAGATGCACATATTTGAACAGATCGAGTTACTAAAACGCTTTGGGTTCAGACAACATTTGTTTATTCTAAAGCATCTATGCGTACGTTTATCTCTAGGGAAAATGTTTTGAAAAAGGAAAATTATCTAAAATAAAACCGTGTAATAGCTATACTATGAGAACTTGAACACTGTTGTTCTCTAGGGAAACGGGACACAGATTTATGAAGATTTATAATCTCCAGTGTCCAGTCCTGTATAGTGGCGAACTAGAGGATATTTCAATAAAACTTAGCAAATAGACGTAATTCCACGTACTTTAGAGGTCGGTTTTTTCAGTGGTCTGTACTGAGATTATATTTTTCATATTAATTTAAGGCGCGCGGATTGCGGGACGCAAGGGGAGACCCCCACCCCACGTCCTAAAATTTAAGCTCGCTTTGAAGTATCTCGCCTTAAGTCACCATTTAAGTGTGTATACAACCTCTTATGGCTTAGCTTGATTCCGCATGATATCACTTTGGAAAAAATATAAGTATAATAAAATTGAGGATATGCACTGATTTCTGACAGTTTTCACGTCAGATAATCTCAATACAGAGTGCTAACAAAACCGACCTCAAAGTACGTGGAATTACATCTATTTGCCAAGTTTTATTGAAATATCCCCTAGTTCGCCACTATACAGGACTTGACACTGGAGATAATAAAAATCAGTTCTCACTACTCAAAGTATATTGAGAGAGAAAAACGCCTTGAATTGGAGAATAGCAAAACCAGCCATTAAAATAATTGCTCATAATTGCTCTTTAAGTAAAATTTAGGCGCTATTTATAAAAATGAATGTTCATGCGTGATCAGCTACCCTTCGAGGTGGATGATTTTCTTCAAAATGAAATTGGACCACTATGCAGGTACCCTTTTTCCAACAAAAAAAGAATCATGAAAATCGGTTCACAAATACCGGAGTTATTGCGTAACATACGTACAAAAAAACATACATTGGAATTGAGAACCTCCTCCTTTATTTGAAGTCTGTTAAAAAAAACAACTTACCTCATTGACTTACAAATAAATGGCCGACGGGTCTAATACAAAAACCACGAAAAAAATGTCCCAAGTCAACCTATTCGAAATTTAAATTGTAATGTCATCGCAGTATCGCGCTGTCAGTAGAACAAATGAAGACTAAAGCGGAGTTTGGCGCTCTGTATACGATTTTAGCGCCTTACAAGTGCGGACACTTTTTAGCGCGGACCCGACGTCCATATAATTGTAAGTCAATGACTTCCCTCTAAATTTTACGAGAAAACCGCTATATTCAATAGGTGCTTCACAAATACCAATGATTTTTTTTTTTGTATCAACTGAACTAAATAGAACACATAGTATACGATATACATTTTTCAGAAGAAATTAATTTCGTTTGTATAACAATAAATTCTGAAATAAATCCAGTGTCCCTGCCGCTCGACACAAAATGAACCTTATTATTAGTACGGAAAAGATTAGAATTCGAACTGAGGTTTAAATAGTATCGACTATTAAGTCACCACTTAAAATCCATCAATGACCTAATTTTGTTATTTCAGAGCGTGCAACGAAACGAGAATGACCGCGCAGGGCGGCGAAGTAAGTCAGAAGGGCCTCGGCAGACGCGCTGGACCGATACCGTCGAGCCGAAGGTAATTTGGAGATAGCTTAAGGGCGCGTGTACACGCTAAGAAATCCGATGTGTCTGCTACAGAAAACATGAGAATGGTCTTGAACACGACAATAACTTTGTCGGAAACATATCGTGCCGTTGCAGATGAGAAAATGATGAGTATATACACAATACGAATGCTTTCGGACAGACGTGTGTAGGGTAAAATGTATCAGTGCACTACGAGTCTTCCATGTCGTTTTACTACCGACTGTGGGAAGAAATATGTTGTTGTATATATTGACTACAAAGCAACAACGTACACGCGCGCACACGTTTGTTTACTGACACCTCACTCTGCTGCCTTCCCGGAGTTATAAGGACTTCCAGAGCTTCCTACTCTGGGCGTCCGCGACCCCGAGGTCCCCTTTTTATGCCTCGAAGAAGGTTCACAGCCCTCGGAAAACGTGTTAAGTCCCCAAGCCGCATAAGCCAGGGTGGTGACCTAAACCTTCGTCTGAGAGGAGACCTGAGCCAGCAGTGGAGCGCTTAAATGGGTTGTTGTTGATTGATTTTTTTTAATGTGTAGGTAACCACAGCCCTAGGCGAGATGATGGCAACAAAAGAACCTGTGGTGGTCAGCACGGAGTACCGGAATCAATTTGCATGGCCGAAGGATGCAACGGACTCAGTTCCTAGGAAGAGCATCTCCATGGGTGCACTCAAGAAAGCCGCTGTTGCAGAAGGTAATATTCATACATCATTGACTATGGTAGGCCATTCATATAGGTATACGACTAATAATACTAGTAACAACTAATAACACAGGATGTGTACATGGTAGAATTTGTTCATTAATTAACACTGGCTTTATGAGTTTAAATACGGGACTTAATCGTGTACTTATAAAAACATATTTTATTTACCTTGATGTTTCGGACGTGTTGCAACGTCTATGGTGTCACACACATTATTTGATTTTAAATTCGGGAGTTAATCGTGTACCTATAAAACATATTTCATTTACCTTGACGTTTCGAACGTTTTGCATCGTCTATGGTGTCACACACATTATTTGATTTTAAATTCGGGAGTTAGTCGAGTACCTATAAAAACATATTTTATTTACCTGGACCTTTCGGACGTGTTGCAACGTCTATGGTCTCATATACATTATTTGATTTTAAATTCGGGACTTAATCGTGTACCTATAAAACATATTTTATTTACCTCGACGTTTCGGACGTGTTGCAACGTCCATAGTTTCGAAGACACTGAAGAGGCGGGTGTGTAGATGTTAACACCCACCTCTTTAGTCTAGCAAGAACGTAAAAAGTCTTATAACGTCGTTGCAAATTTAATATCTCCTTTGTGTTTAAAGATGGTTTAACCATTTTATCACACAGCAATGCAAACAATACACTGTCATTTTACTCCAACTTCATAAAACACAGACAATAATTTATTTCTGTGTAATTGTTCTGTGCCATTTTATACCTATAATAATAAAATCCACTATATTTTGTGCAGCAACTGTGGTTTGCAACCTTTCTTATAAGCATATAGTATGTCGGATAACAAGCCGTGATGTAGTCTAAAATAGATTCCTTTTAAATTCTCTAAAACATATAAGTTATACTAAAGATACTGTATCCATATGACCTCCAAATCATAACAGAAAAAAATAACATTGAACTACAGACGGAACCACAAAAACAAGTACCTAAAAATAACAACATTTGCCACGGTATAAAACCAACTTACTGGTGATTTTAATTTAAAATCTTTTGTTAAGCCGGCAGTGGTAGGTACGCTTGAGCCAATATTGAAATAGATTTTTAAGTTAAAAATGTGTTAGATTGTACTAGTTAAAGTTCAAAAAGTTTCAACGGATAATCAGGTATTAAAACTAGCTTATCTACCTGTTAAAAGTCCTATTTTTTATTAAGAATGAAATGAATTTACCCCCGTTGTCGAGTGATTTGTACATCGGTTTTCATGGTGACACCATCTTTGGACTACCATCTTTTTTATATTGTCTCAGATCTGGGTGTTTGTGGTACCGTCGTTATTTTCGATTTTTAACCGACTTCAAAAAAAAGGACTAGGTTCTAAATTCGACTGTGTTTTTTTTGTCGTGAGTACTTTTTTGGCATTTGTGAATCGATTTTGATGGTTGTTTTTTCTTGGAAAGAGGTCCCATTTAAATTTGAAGAAAATATATCACCTTTAAGAGTGGAAAACCAGGGGATGAATAACTTTTGAGGTTGGTTCTTTTAGTACCCTGTACTGAGATTATCATAACGCAAGAGCTTTATTTACTTACTTTGGGATCAGAGCAACGTATGTGTTGTTGTCAAATATTTACTTAATTAATTAAATATTCTTTATCATCTAAATAATGTAATAATTTTGATTTCGTCCGGGGAAACTGCCATCATACTTATTTCTGGTACCAAGCAGTAATGTCAGCATTAGGTACTGCGTTCTGGTATCCATATAAAGGGTAAGGGTGCCGATGAAACTGAAGACACATACTTGTCAGGCTTATGTCTCGGGCGCCTTGGTAGTACCCCTCAGAGCTTTGCGATGTAGAGCTTCCTAAGGCACTGCAACTGTCGGCAAGGCAACTTGAAACTCATAAAAAAATTGCTACGAAGCCTGTTGCTCATAATAATTAACATTACAGTTCTATGGTTATTGTAATTTTTAAATATGACAGACCTAAGACCTAATATAACAGTTGCAGTGCCACTCAGATATTTGAATCGCAAAAGGAGCACTGCACTGCTATTGCACCTGTTACCCTGAGACATAAGTTGACAAGTCCCATGTGCCTGTAATTTCACCAGCACTCTTACCCGTGTGCCTGTCTCTGAAATTGCAAAACAACAGAGACAGATCGATGAATGGATGGTAATCAGTGTGGTACCACACCGACGACGCTGCTGTACCTGTCACGACTGCAATACTCTACGAAGTCCGAAGAGATAGTGGAGTACATCAGACATAAAGCCAAATACACCCTGAGGGTTTGGAGTCCCGCCACAACGTGAACGTCAATTCGTTTGTGGTGAGAGTACCGACCGAACATCTGTCGACCTTCATGAAGGAAGAATTTTGGCAGAAGGGTGTATCGGCGGATTCGCGGCCGGTTACCTGACACTAGATTGCGCCACACGTCGCTCACAACTACAATTCGTATAGATTGTTCTGCTTCCTTGGTACATTCCTTTACTTCAAATTAAATTCAACATTGCATTTTCACGCCTTGAACAAGATGGGATGTAAAAAGACCGTCAAACGCTGGCTTAAAAATAAAAACTATGATGAAACAGAAGGTTTACTAGAAGGTATTTCATAATTATATTGTAAAAGTTAATTCTTTTATTCTTAATTAAATATAGCTATTTTGTTTTTAAGCACTAATATAATGAATCTGTGCACAAACAAGATGCTTAAGATACAGGTAATAATGTACTTAGTTTAGGCATCGCAACTATACTGGTAGGCTTCTAATAATTAATTGTATAGCTTTATGATTAGTACTCGTATAATAATTAAGGTTTACTTTTTAATATTTTTTTTTACCAATTGTATATTAGCTTCCCTTACATTTGTTTTTGTTTTTTTTTCTTAAATTTAGATTAAGTTATGCTGAAATAAATTTATCTGTTTATCTTTATTAATTAGATATAGTGTTTTATTGGATGTATTGTATGAATGTTAGACCTTAAGATACATATTATGTGGGTCATGTGGCCTGAAGTAAATAAATAAATAAATTGACCTCTCCTCCAGAACTCTGTAATACTCACATTACTGCTTAGCGGTAGAAATAGGTAAGGTGGCAGTAAGTACTTTCCTGGACGAACCCTTTCACAAGGAGCTCTACTTCTAATCCTGTTAACCTTAGGACAGATTAGGAGGTGGATAACAATTTTTAGACTATGCAATTCTCTTACCAAATATTATTAAGCATTTAACAATTTACCAAACAACAGATTACCGAAATTTCCAGGGTCAACGGAAGCCGAACCTCTGATGAATCATCATGATGGTGACCACGACGAGGGTCAGAAACGCTACATAGAAGACTATCTCTGGAATGGGCAGAAGCCTGGCGTCCAAAGGTTGGTACCAATCCCCATCAAACTCCTTGAAATTAATAGTTTTTCTTAAGTTTCCATTTATCATGACGTTGTTTACTAAAACAACCATATTCCCCAGTTACATTCTCCATCTAATCACCATTTACATTCAATTTTCTGTATTGCACATTATACAATACATAATTGTCATTCGAGTATCACGTGATATGAAAGTCACACCATTGGTCAGTTTAAAGTTCCTTCTGCATATCACGCGATATTTAAGCCTTGTGATTGGCTAGTTCACACACAAATGAACTAATATGAAATCACGTGACGTTAATCGTCACCATTTATTTTACGCAACCTCAGAAATTAATTGTGTATTTAAATATGTAGTCTACCTATTTCTTTAAATAAAGTCATGTTTTCCATATTGGTCCTTCGAGAAATGTTATTTTCATGAAATGATGGTTCAAACAGAATAGAAACGGATAGATTACAATATAATTATATTATTATTTATTAAATAACATTTTATATAAATAACAATGAATTCATAAATGTAGCTCCGAATTTTGTACTTAGTTTCTAAACGTAGCTGTTGCTTAATCACATTGTCGAAGCTTCCCATCGAAAGTGGTTTAGTGTTTATAGATTGTTTCGTATTTAATTACCGTTAATAGTATTTAATTACCGTTGTAGCATGCCATTTTTTTCTTACTTTAGCGTATTTTTGAAGTTTGAAAATATTACTTTTATGACTTCAATGAAACAGAATGATGCATTTATTATAGAATAGGTCTCTAGATATACGTACCTAATAGATAATAATTTTGTTCCTATCATGATCAAATTCAAGCAATAAATTACCGAAAAACGATAAATATTACGAAGTTAATCTAATTTTAATATTCATTATAAAAACTTAAGAAATAAATTCATTATGTAATGAATTAATTTTCTTTGTCCTCCGAATAGAATCGGTATTGATGCACGGTACTTTTTTCATCTTATCGTGAACGAATTTTAATAGAAGTTATCTTAAATAAAAGATCAAAGCATACGTAATCATGCCGAAAGAAAACATCCGAAAAAAAATCAAGCCTTGTGTATTTTATTCATGAAAATTACTGAAACAATCTGTAAATATCTACCTCCTATATGATATACACTAACTAACAATCATTATATACTACGATACCATGATCACCACGCTTTGCTTCTGCTAAAGCAGCTTTTTCGCAAAAATCATTAATGAAAAATCATCATAAGAAACAAAAATCATTAAATCCTGGTTATCTTGGTCGCACGAACTGACACTGAAATTCACACATTACACGAATATTTAAAAAATATACTTTAAAATCCGGACTTGACGTATATAATAGATACCCATAATACATAATTATCTATTCACAAAAACTATATAACACAGTTTGACAATTTTATTATTGCTTAACAACAAAGTATATTTTTAGATTGTCCAACTTTTTCAGGTGAAGAATTATTAGTGTTTAAAAAGTTATAAGATAAAGTTTATCACTGCTGTAGCTTTTATTATCTGTGTTTTAGCTTTGTGTACTAAACTAGGCAAGGCGGAAACTTTTCATGAAAGTAAAGTGATAATAAGTTTTGTCAGAAGGGGAGGATGTTAATGACTTGATAGAATTTTTGCACTAGCAACATTTCCGAGCTAGCAATGTCTTACAACCACTCCTGTGTTGCCAGAGATGCAAAAACTTTTACCTAACGTAGAATACATTTCGCTTTTATATTTGTTTTATAACTAATTTTAAAAAGATGTAAATTTTATTGTAAAACTTGTGCAAAATGAAAGAAGTAAAAATAATATAAATTGTAACTAATCGATTTTGCCTTCAACTTCATGTATATAACAATCCATAGAAGATTCCATTCTTCTTTCAAGTCCATTGAAGGTTTCAATGAATTTGAAAGACATTCTACAAAACCACAGGTTTAAAAACTTGTTAAAAATGGTTCAACTTCTGCAAATTTCCTTTTGACATTTCCGTAACTGAAAAGTTTCCTCTGCGCCTTGTTCTGCCCCTGCTCCCTTCGACTAAACACTGGGTATCGCAGAACAAGTCTAAATTTCGTTTTTGGTATTTGCTTACTAACTCTCCTCACGGTGGCGGTGTCTAGGCCGAGTAGATTAGACAGACCAACATTAATTCGGAATGACATCTATAGATTTTATTATATTACTGTCCTGCACTGTCTATGTGAACGTTCATTCAATTTGTTAGATTGTATGTCGATGTTTCACCACACTTCTAAACACTACTCTAGTATTAGCTCAAGAGTCAATCGTCCACACTGTTTCAGTCTATCTAGACCCTTCCAGGACTCGACTACCCTCACCATTGCGAGCTTGACAATTATTTGTAGCATGTCTTAATCTTCGGCGCAAGCTGTTTCTTTTGCGCATCATCATCGAGAAAACTCCAAACGCCTAAGACATTCAAATGGAATTTTCCAGAAAATCGACGTTCCGTAGCGCGCTATCGGCCTTCATATCCAACGGGGAGGATCGTACCAAAGATAATAGGAAACGTTACAAAAGCGAGTACAAAAAGAAATTTAGACCGTTCTCTCAATACGTGTACGAGGCGTCTAAAGGGACATTTACGAAATGCAGGGGGAAAGGGAAGTCAAATGAGGAGGCGAGCGAGAGGATGCTGGGGTCGGGGGAGGGGGGAACTGAGGGGGAGGACAGCGCGAGTACGCTGCGTGCCGCCGGCCTGCAGCCGCTCGTGCGGCCCTCACAGCCGAACGACTCCTGGTACCGCGAGGTCCTGGACTTGCGCAAGCGCGCCGGCGAGTACAAGGTCTGCGCCTATACTTCACACTCCTCTTTACTTAATATACAAATGAAGATTTTAAAGTTCAAGCCTTTACGAAAAATCTCACATTGCTAGGCTGTCGAATTGAGTCTGCTCTAAAGAGCTTACACAGGGTGTGGTCCATTAAATAAATTTCAATATTGCATTGAAAAATCTTCCGAAAGGAAAAGAGAGATTGAAATATTTCTTTCTATACGACCATGCACTCCAGTAGAAGTTTCAATCAAGCTTGAGCCATTCTCAAAGTTGCCATTTTCGACAGTACCGCGGCTGGGGCACGGAGCTAGCCCCGGAACACATCACTCAGCTTTACAATAAACAGATCGAACTGTGGTACCAAGTGTCGAGACGATCCTCGCTGTCCGCCCTATCACTTGCTTCCACCAATCACAAGTAAGTGCACTTAACGTTGATTGAATGCTGGAACATCATACCACTCAGCCGAAAGGTACTCACAACTTCTTGGTGAAAAATTTTAAGTGGACCTTTCGATCAGTAAACAAGCCTATCAATGTAGTTTGCGCTTTGTTTTATATATTTCTCTATGCGGTAAATAAGGTCCAGCATTCCATTAACGGCAACATGAATCATATAAACTGTAATATTATTCGCAAAAAGGCTGATGCGAAGCAATGAACATCACATGCATTATGTAGTTAGAATCATCAGTCCGTATCTGTCATATTTTAGTAGCTGAAATCATCTGTATGTATATTCAGTCGACTGAATTACGACAATGACTTTAAACTTGATTTAAAAGATACATTAAAAACTGGTTAAAGATATACGCTACTAAAACATTTTTACTATAAATCTTAAAAGATATAATAACCTTAGTTTTATGCTAAACATGCAGACGTATACAAGCACGAAATATACATAAAACCGCTGACTTGTAGCTTTCGCGTCTTCAGAGCTCTACCCCGGGATGAGAAAGACGGGAAGGACTCCAAAAACCAATCCCCAAAGAAGTTCCGGTCTTTCCGCTCTGCGCCCCATCAGTCCATTCATGCGAAGCTTCAGGAGTCGAAGGAGCGTTCCCCGCATAAGACATCGCCGCAGAAGCAAAGGAAGAAGTTACAGGGGCATAGTTTCGATGAAAACGCTGCTCAGGACGGTAAGCCATGTGATATAGTACCTCTGGTTCCGATTGTTTCAACATTCTTGGTTGGTTCTGCGCTTTGACCAAATGGAATTTTGTGCTCGCAACTCCTTGTGAAAGAGCTCGTTCAGGAAAGTACTGCTACCTTACGTATTTCTGCTGCCAAGCAGTAATGTGAGCAATGTGTGGTTTTGGAAGGTAAGGGCTGGTGAAACAAGCACATAGCACTTGTCAGCTTGTGTCTCAGGGTGGCAGGCGCAGTAGCAGTACCACTCAAAGTTCTGAGTGGCACTACAACTGTTAAGGGCAGGCATGTAACTTCCCACCAAGCTCACTTGATATTACATATAAAAAACAGGCAGATGACCTGGATAAGAATGGTATGAGTATGGAAATGATGACTCATAGGAGAGAGTAGTACTGTTGGGTAATTTTCCGAAAATTTTCAAATAGTGGATATGTTTCCGGAAAAGTTTCCGAAGAATTCGAAAAATTTAATTTCGATAGTTCGTATTATGTTCTACGTTTCAAAATATCTTTTGAAGTTTTATTTAGCGTAAATTGTAAACTTGTATAGTTAAAAGCTACGTAGAAAGAAAACGAGATTTAAAACTGTTTCACAACAGGAAACAAAATCTTTTTAAATGGCGCCATCGTTTTCGTTCAGTAACTTCAACTTTTGATAGATGTCAACGTCAAATGTGGAAAAGTAAAGGAAAAATACCCGGAAAAATATTTCTTTATTGAAAAATGTGATTTTATTCAAAATGGAAATTTTTCCATGACCCAACGCTAGGGGAGAGTGGAAGAAAAATACTTGTTGTACCGACCCCACCTAGACTGGGACAAGGACAGGAAGAAAAGAGAGAGAAAGAACCTAAACTCGTCACTTTTCCCTTGTCTCTTAGTCCTAAAACCATGACATAATTCAGTACATTTAGTACTTCGCTGTATAAGCGATTGTAACGCCGTGACCACGAAAACTAACAAACACAAACTGATAGCGATCTCCAGTCATGAAATTTCTACAATATTCTTCCTTTTTTTTTCATTAGGAGCTAAAACCGATAGTGGTGCGTTCCGGTCACCACGGCGGCGGCCGCGTTCCGCTGACCCTGCGCCTGCGCATACGCAGAACAAGCATCTGCCCAACGGGCACGAGCCCCATCCTCGCCCAGCCAAGCCTACAGGTAGGTTTTATTTCAATATAACATTGTAGAATGGGTGCCTTGTCTATTGAAGCTATCGAGAAAAATAAAAATAGAATGAACCAGAATACTTGGAGTAGTATTCAACTTATTGCTGGCAGGAAATTAAATTACGTATAGCTTATGAATTTGCGTTTTACGGCCATTATCACAGTGTCCTCAACCTAATTATCGCAGCCATTTCGGTGTTCTCAGCCTAATTACTGTAGCCATTGTTTTTTTCGCTTATTATAACCAATAACATTGAAATATGAATAACTTTAGGCTAAACTATCAATATTTCTAAATGGCATTGGAATAGACAAAGTAGTTTTCGAGTATTAAGACATACATGTTATAGAAACGGTAATTAGATCTAATTACCGTAGCCATGGTTAAGGTAATTGGAAAGTTCAAACATTTTTAATAAAAACCGACTATTTCTGACACAGCTGAATTATTATTTATATATTTTGCTACATTTGATTTATTTCAACTGACACAAGTGCCACATTATAACCGAGAAAAAGCATGGCTACGGTAATTAGGATGAGAACGCCTAATGTGAGAATGACCATTTAAAGAAATGGTGACAATAAACTAAACAATCATCTCCACTGGCTGCCTCATTCCTGATAATTTCTTAACATTGTCATTTTATTAGTAGATAACGAAAAAAAAATGTCAGAGAAATTCCAATCCAGGTTTATAAAAATCATCTTTACGAAAGATGTGTTTTTAAAATGTACCTATTCAATAGACAGTACATCCATTATTGTTATACGTAGATCATTCATTATCAAAAAAACAAATATAATATAAACTTAACAGCTATTAGTTTCGACTTCTAGATAGATCTTGTTTTAGTCATAATGTTTTTGTGTCTATATAATCTACCTTGGTATTTTAGAAATGCCTCGCTAAACTATATATCTAACAATATAATCGATGTTCAAATAACAATGGTATACGGTGATTTTTTTAATACTTGGGAAAATACTTGAACAGACAAACGTAATATAAGCAAAATTGTTATGTAACCTGTTATTTGAGGTTCAATAGCGGATAATGGCGTTAACGTAAATCAGCCACTGTTATAAAGCTATTGTTGTTATTGACTATAACCATTAACCTATAAACAAAAACAAAATGGCTGTTTTCGGCATCAGATGTAATTAAATTGATATTAACAGCATATCGATATCCAATTAGGGACACGGAAAATGTATCGATACTTTTTGGTATCGAGTAATTTTACCTCCGACACCGATACTTTTGTACTGTATAGTGTATGCCACCTTATATAAGATTGAGAATGAAGAAAAATAATTAGAAACATTTGAATTACATTTGAGCACCTCGTAATTCCAGCGCAGTCTTCCGGAAGAAGATATCAAAAACGAGAAACAGACTGTTACCAAATAGATTTTTGTTTTTAAATGATATACAGAGGTGGAGTGGGAAATCTATATAACACAACTTCCGATAGACCTTTTATTGGATAATGAATTCTCCAGTGTTGAGGAATTTCTTTTGAAGAAATTGTGATTATGTTTTCATTTTGGACGTTTGTATTTTGGAAATATTTAATTTTTATTTGTATTTTTGTAGTTCGTATTTTTGTTTAAATTATTTAATTTTATATTAACAACAAAATGATTGTTTACATTAATGACGATCATGTTATCCCTTGACATTACATTTTGAATTGTAATATTATGAAATAAATTATTCTTCTATTCTATGTGACATGACGATTGATTAAATTGATCAATTGAATCAGTCTTTTATTATTTATTTCAATTAAAAATCAAATAGAAGACTTATTTTATTATTTATATTCATGTGTTTTATTTTGTCTGTAAGTAAGGAAAATTTGCAGGATTAATCGATACGTTTATGAGTACGACACTTTTTATGCGAGAATACTCATGTACATCGATACTTTTGATTCGATACTGTGTCCCTATATACAATATTAAAATCGACATTATTCCAATTGCATAAAGCACATAATCTTAATTTCAAATATGTGATTTATAACAATAAGATAATAGAGAATGGTAAAATATAAAGTGAGAAAGAGAGCTTTATGTAGTGCACTGAAAGTTTATAATCGTAAGATACAAATCGTAGCGTCGTCGTCCAATTTGCCATTTCTCTCTCACTGCGTATTAACTATTGCATACTTGCTTGACGCAATCGCAACAGCGGAATAGCAGTATAACAAGAGCAGTTACACGATAATGAGTTATACATTGCGTAAGAATAATGCATTACATTATCTGCTATTGTAATGATGACCACTTTAATTGCATAAAGAAGTGGTCATTACCACTTATTTAGGCAAATAATAGACAAAAAACATGCTTTTTTGTTTTTGGCGCTTGGCATTTTGCGTTTGTGCCACGGCATAAAAAGCTCATTCCCAGAAACAAAGGAATATTAACAATTTATGGAAGAAAACATAAAAGAGAAATAGAGCAATTGCTTATACTGACATTTGTTTGTAACTGAGTATTTTTAACAAATATTTAAAAAATTGACTTGTATATCTACTTTTAATAACTTGATGTTGTGTTCCTGCCTGATGCTTGTCCCTTTCCTTGGCTAAGTGCTGAGAATTTGGCTCTTCAAACTGGTATAACAAATAGATTTGGTCCAAAACAGACAATCTTTCTCTGTTGATACGAGTATATCTAAGATATCGCAGCCGTGTTCGAGCATCTTGAACAACATTACACATATGGTACACCGGACTAAACCATCTCATATAATGCGCTCTAGTTTTTATCATTTGTAGATTCTATGTATTAATTTTTCACAAAAGGAACCTGAATAATGAATAATACATACACATTTGACTGCTAGGTTGCAGTGGCGAAGCATAATACAGTTATAATACAATACTCTTCATAACAAGATTTCTATTTTCACTGAGCTACTGGTTCCACCATCGATTCAACGCGGGCTAAATAAATCTACCCCCGGGACTGCAAGGGGCGCGCGGGGTATTGGGGGGTCACGCGAATGACGCGATTCGCGATTCTCGCCGCACGCGCATCGGGCACTGCGACTCGGAACGACGGCGGAAAGAATTGTGCGCACGAGTACCTACTCTTTCTTTAATACAATAAGTGTAATACAGTTCGCTAGTTTTATTCAACTGGATACCCCTTGTAAGTGATAGGGCTCTAGATTGCACTAGCTACTTTTACAGTTTAAAAAAGCTACGGGGGATTGAGCTGCAAGCGAGAAAGGTAGATTGTCTCGTTTCGGTAGTAAAGAAGCGTGGCAACTGTGACGTCACATAAAAATTATAGATTTTGTTGTAAATAATAATGGCGGTAGATTGTTCATGCGTGAAAATAGTCTGTAGAAATAATTGTTCACTCATTGTCTTCGGTGTTTTCGTTAGTTAATTTTTGCGGTTGTCATTAGTGCGGAATGTTGCAAAACCAATTTTCTGTTGAAATCTTCTTCGACCTGCTCTTTGCCACTGCTAGGTACATAATTGAGGACTCCTTGCGACCGAAGTTGATAAAGAAAAAAAAATGTCATGAAAGTTTTTTTTAATTTCAAGTCATTAGGAACTTTAGAGCCAATTCTCACTAGTCAAAAAGTACAGTAGCGGAATTTCTTGTAGGTTTGCCGTTGAATAGAGGAGGTAGTAATAGAGTTAGGTCAACATCGCGAGGTGGACGGTCGCCGTCAGTGCCGAGCAAAAATGTGACTACTGGGGCAAGTGGGACATTGGTCAATGGGACCCTTGGGGCTCCGGGACGGGGCCGCCGCAGTCGCAGCGTCTCAAAAGTGGGCATAAAACTGGGTGCGTACAAAAAAAGTGACGGTTGCGTCGACGCTCTGTGTGGATTGCTTCATTATTTTGTATTCAGCTTCTATGACGTATTGTTTCGTTTCAAATTGGCAATGTATTCATTTTTTGAGCCTGTTATGTGGCTTCGGAACCTGGTTTTTGATGTGTAAAATTTAAGGGCCTTTTCAGTAAGTCAACTATTGATTATTAAACCTTGAAAGTTCTCGAAAAACTCCCTTAAATTGTACCCAAAATCTTGATTACTTTATTTATGGAATTGACGTTATTTTAGTTATATTGGTCAGTGCGTCTACGCAACATATGGTCACGTGAAATGCATTGGCACCGGGGAATGGCTTCGACACGTCACCGTGTGACTGTATGTTCGTTTTATTCGCAAACACCTTGCACTGTGACCACCTTAGATTTACCCGATTTTTGGGGAAATATCAAAAATAATGTAGAGTCCAAACATTTTTGTTGAGCGGGACATCGGTCGCGCCACACTTTAAAATGACTTTTGCATAATTGTCTCAAATGTATAAATCCTGGCTTAGGTTTAGTTTTCGTCTATTTTCAGCACACTTTCCTTTTTTATAATGTACAAAGGTAAATTTTAACGATGGAAGATCAACTTAAATTCTTACATGGAAACGCTACAACTAAATTAGTTGGAGAAACAAATATTTTTTTGTTATTACTTACTGGAAAAATTTACAACTTTACATGGTTTTAAAGTTGAAAACATTGTACAATCGCGAGTACATTAAGTTTGACACCTTGGATTTGTGCTGTTCTTATTGCAAACTGTATAAAGTCGAATTTACATCTTAAGTGTGAAAGTTGACGTGATCATGACCCTGTACCTGTTTAGAATTTAATATTCCAGTTTCCAGCGGTTAATAAGAGTTTGTTTAAATGTCTTGTGTTTAACTGTCTTGTATGTGTATCACAAAATTAGATATTTAGTACACATTTCATGGAAGTTTGTCTAAGAGCCTATGTACACTATATTTTACACTGTATTTTATACGCGCTGACAACGCCGCGTTTACGTAAACGCGCGTTAACTGCGGGTATACGAGCCGTATACGCGCTGTAGTCGCGCATTTTCATAAGAGATAGTTAATTTTAATATAGTTAGTTCTTGAAATGAAGCAGCTACATGATATAAACTCCAGTGGAGTATAGAGGGCGTCCCAAAACTCAACGATAACCCGGGAACAGGATGTTGCCTAGTATGTAACAACCCAGAAAAAAATATTTAAAAGTCGGAGTCATTTTTTTTGTGATATAAGCGTTTTAATGAAAAATGTTGAAATTGTACGCTCTGTATACCATTTTTAAGTACTACAATTACAAATTTGCTAATTACGCTGTTCTAGTTTTTGTAACGGTAACCTAAATAGCCCGGCGAATGAACACAGTGCCAAAGAAAGCCAGCATTGCTAAAGTTTCAGCACAAAAAATATTGTATTTAATTTTTTTCTTCAATTTCTTTGTAATTTTTTTTCTAGGTAACTTTGACACCCCATACTGTAAAAAAAATGTACCTAGACTACCAACTTCTTACAAAAGTTGGCGCAACTAATCAAGATTCTAAAATGGTATAAAACCTTCTACGTCAAGCTTCTTGGAAAAAATAATCTTGGTTTTTCTAAAAAGAGGCCAATTTAAAAAGGTTACCTCTTCTTCTACGTTAATTTAAGTTTCATATCCATGTACTCGGAGTTAGACTGACTGGTAAAAATGACCTTTTCACCAATCGTGCATGTCGTCGTAAATTTATCTGTAGTACAGCTTCCGGGATTCTTCGTCGTAATTCGTCGTAAAACGTTTGATATCAGTTTTGCATAAACTTTTTGTTTCCGACAACCCCAGCAAAAAAATAGTGTCAGATCTACTGGAAGACGTGCCACTTAGCATATTGCGGAAAATGTGGTATCAACATTACGGGTGTCCTGCTCATTATGCCCGACCAGTAGAATATCTCAATGAAGAGTACACAGGTCGATGGATTGGGCGCCTTGGTCCAATTTTGTGGCCACCCCGTAACAAATAAACAGATAAATTTACGACGATATGCACGATTGGTGAAAAGGTCATTTTAAGGCGTTGCCGTGCATGTATTAATGCCGGTGGAAAACTGTTTGAGCACTTGCTGTAGTCTGTAATAAAATTATAATAATTTATTCATTAGTTTTATTTAAATTCCTATATCTGTCGAGAAATATGAAATTTTAAGACTGTTTACCTCACTCAATCATACTTACTATTTTTACCAGTCAGCCTAACTCCGACTACATGGATATGAAACCTAAATTAACCTTAGAGGCACTGAGGCCGTTTTCATTTAGAAAAGGTAACCTTTTTAAATTGGCCTCTTTTTAGAAAAACCATGATGATTTTTTCCAAGAAGCATGACGTAGAAGGTTTCATACCATCTTAGAATCTTGATTAGATGCGCCAACTTTTGTAAGAAGTTGCTATGTTAGTGTAGGCACATTTTTTTATAGTATGGGCTGTCAAAATTACTTAGAAAAAAAATTTGCTAAAAATTTCAAGAAAAAAAATGTATGCATTATTTTTTGTGCTGAAACTTTAGCAATACGGGCTTTCTTTGGCATTGTGTTCATTAGCTGGGCTATTTGGGTTACCGTTACCAAAACTAGAACAGCATAATTAGGAAATTTGTAATTGTAGTACTTAAAAATGGTGTACAGATCAATGTGAAATCAAATTGTTGAAAATGTACATTTTCAACACTTCATTAAAATTTTTTTAAATATATTTTTCTGGGTTGTTACAAACTAGACAACATCCTGTTCCCAGCTTATCGTTGAGTTTTAGGACACTCTGTATAAGCTTCTTGCTTGCAACGCGATGTTTGTGCGCATTTGAATCGATTCACTACATCCTGTATACGCGCAGATGACGCGCGTTTACAGCGCGTTCGTCAAACGCGCGAACGCGTGTCGTCGGCACGTACAAAATACGCCGTGTGTATAGGCTCTAAGATTTTTTCTTTGCATGTGTTTGTTTGTTACATCAACCTAGATGATGGTGACTCACTAAATGTTGTAATGGTTTGTAATTAGATCTTAGATGACTTTACTATTTTATATGTTCCTTTTAAACTGACAACTAAATTAATAAATAATAAATCTAATTTTTAAAACTTTCTTAATATCTGTGTAGCAGGGCTTAAATTTCACTGGTGCTGGTTTTTATGGCCAGCTGTTCATATCATTGGAAATAATTGAATACTTTAAAAGCACTATCATATACTACCTTACCCTCCTAAGGTCCAGCAAACTGCAACGGGAAAAGCGCTAAACGCCTAATGTACATTAAAATGTACTAAATATAATTGCATATAGGTCCAATCAAGTATTCCCTCAGTTTTGTATGAAAAATATTTTTTTCTAGGTCATGTAAAATCTATGGCGCTACATTTGAATGTGCTACTTTCATTATAATATATATTTGGGCGTTAACGTTTCATAGAAATAATGTTGTCTACATATTGTGTGCATTTTGATGTACACGGGGCCTTAGGAAGTTATAGTGCTGTACTTCTTTTCTGGGAATGTCAGAACCAGTAACTGGCGCTTCGCAACATCAGACATAAACTGTACCACCCTGCAATATTAAGCATGGCCGCCTCCACCACAACAAAAGAACAATTCTAATGATAATCCTTTATGAAATTTGCAGATGATGAAATTCCATCTCACCGCAGTGCGTCTGTGGCAAAAGACCACTTCTTCGACGACTCCCCAGTCGTGAAATCTCCACCAGAACCGACCAGGGTCAAGTCCCCAGAACAGATGAACATGAGGTCCCCGGACCCAGTGAATTGGACTGTTCCCCTGGACACTGGGAAAACATTTACTGTAACCCAGAATGTGAAAAGCGGTGAGTGGAAGTTCCTAGGTAGATTGGTTGGTGGCAAATGTAGTTAGATTAAGATTTTTAGACTAGTTTTTTGTTAGGAAATAGTGAAACTCAATTTACAGTTTAACATTGTTATTTTTTCTATATAATTAAGTTATTTTTAAAGCTAATGTATACACGTATAACTTGTTTATTGTTAAATTCATTCTATATGTCTATTAATGCTATTATAGGCTTTTCGTAATAATAATATTCTTTCTTTTATAATATTTTTATTGCAATTATTCTAAAATAACTCGTAAAATCAGTTTCACTTTATTATTATTGTATAAAAAGATCCTTTTCCAGTAGAGGGAGTACGTAATGCGCAATCTTTTTTCGAATACATGGGAATCCATTTTAAAAAACGTTAACGTTGTAAAATAAAATAAAATCAAATTAGGCACTACCACTCCCTCTAATTTTAAATGAAATACGTTTTATAAAAGTTAATTATAAGACTATTGACTTGTTAAACATAAAATTGTAGGTAAGCAAGCGATGTAGGGTATTATTTTGGAAACCGTTACACCTTCATGCATTACACTCAACACGTAGATATACTCGTCATATCCATACTTTTTTTAAATTTTCTTCAAAGTGTGAATACAACAATCCCACGGTATGGAAATTAGAATGCTTGCAACACTGACACTGATTTCGAACTTCGAACACAATCATCGAACGTTAACTTGACCTTAAACAAAAAAATTCATTTTCTCATACTTTTATTTAATGTTATTTGAGTTGGACTGTTTGATATCAGTTCTTTCGATTATTAAGTTTATTTCCAACATAGTTCTATGACCATGGAAAAAAATATTTTAATTTTCGTATTATTATTTTTCTAAATCAAAGTACTTAGCGTAGTAAAACTCTCTTCAACGACCCCACCGAATAAACGTGTGAAGGAAAAACTGCAACTTTACAGGAACCATTAAAAACTGAAAAAATAATATTACTCATTGGTGATTGGATATACTTAATTGTACTTAAAATGTATGACCAAACTAACGATAAAAAAACATAATATGAAACACGAAAATATTGATACTTTATCATTATCAGAAGTTAATAAAAAAACCCTTTTGTAATGCGTAACGGCTTTTATTGACGTAGTTAGGGACGATTCGATACAAGTTAATACGAGTATCGATACTTTTGTTTCGATATCGAGTACTTTTAGGATAGAATCCCTCCTTTCGATTTTTACTGGGTATCGGAAGAAAAATACTGGTACCGCCATTGACTTACAAATAAATGGACGACGGGTCTAATACAAAAACCAAGAAAAAAATGTCCCAAGTCAACCTATTCGAAATTTAAATAGTTATGTCATCGCAGTATCGCGCTGTCCGTAGAACAAATGAAGACTAAAGCGGAGTGTCGCGCTCTGTATACGATTTTAGCGCCTTACAAGTGCGGACACTTTTTAGCGCGGACCCGACGTCCATATAATTGTAAGTCAATGGGTACCGCGTAATTATTTAACCTTAATCCCACTTCCTAGGAAACAATAATCTTTTTTTCCAAATTATTTTTATTTCCGTTTATTCGCCGTTTTACAGCAAACAAACGCAAACCGGAAAGTATCAGAGTAAAAAAAAATTATGTCTATCTATGGTCCCTTTGGAAGACTTTTGGATGAATAGTATGTACTACATATATCTCAGCGAATAAGCGAAGTCACAAAGAGAAATGGCGGGTTCTTATGTAGTTATGTGGGTTTTTATATTACAGTTTTTATATAAATTAATATTTAGTTTAGATATTATTACGACAAATTCGCAGTAATAATCGTTTATCAAAATTTTGATCGATTAGCGGAATTATCGATTTAGCTATACCTAATACTTTAAAAAAAGAAAAGAACGTTTGTTTAATTGTGCAATGCGTGCTTGTTAATATTGCCTTTTTTGATATTATGGCGCCGCCAAAATCTAAAGTATGGACATATTTTAAATCTCCTTAAAAAGTATCGATATGAGTAAGTATCGATATTTCTGAAGTACTCATATGATTAATAATCGCATGACAAATTGGTTACTACTCATTTGAGTAGGTATCGATACTTTGGTGGTATCGGAACATCCCTAGACGTAATCACGCTCATCCTCGATGTTAGCCCGACGTCCCACCCGGTGGAAGTACTAGAATGCCACTCATAGGCCTTATGATTCGAAACAATGCAATTTTCTTTAACAGCTTATATTGTAGTTTAGTGAACACTTCGATAGCGCGTTCTATTTTGATCCCAACGCCATTTAGCGGCAAATATCTCTTGTACGTGATGGTATACTTATAAATTTTTATTCTAGTAAAAATTACTATAGCGAATGTGGCAAAAGTTGTTTTGCTGTGGATAATGTTTGTCAATGCTAATATTATATAGTTACATGTTTATTCTGGTAATTGATCATAAATTTTGAACAATATTACAAAGTTATTTTGTTAAAACGTGCAAGAATCGACAGTGTGCAAAATACATACCTACTTGCAATATTCGTGCATTCCGTAGAATAAACATTGCGGTGATCTGAAAAAAAAATATATAAAGTGTATTTTGAACAGAAAATCCAAAAACGTAAAAAAAATTACGGTAAAAGCGTTTACCCGCTTATTCGATGGGGCCGTCGATTAAGCATTTTTTTTAAATCCAATTGTCAACTCAAATTTTGTCTATGGACATAGAACGTAACTTCACAGTCTCACTTCATCAATCCATACAACTCGCTCACCATATTTCAGATGAGAGCGTTAAGCGCCCTAGCTCTGAGTTTAAGGGTGGCTCAGTGGCAGAAGACCCGAAACCAGCAGGTACGATGACCACAGCCACCGCCTAGACCATCGGCATATTCAATGAGTGTGACAAACAACCATTTGTGACAGTGAATTCTACAATGCGGCCGCGGCCTTTAGAACTCACTGCCCCATAAGCACGACACACGACCGACACTTGAAAACTATAATAATCTGTTTTATATTATATCTAGTTCATGATTAAATTGTGTTAATCCAATAACTGAGATGCTTTTATTTATTTTAACTGTACTCCACTGAGGCGTTGACCACGTATGTATTCACTCGTTTGTGTGTGTGTCTGTTTCAATGTTTGCCTCATTGTCACTGTTGTCACTACTTTTTATGGTTTCTTCATCTCATGTAACTCATTTTTGCATGCTGCCTGACCTTTCTTTCGGGAAGATGCCTATTGGCGTCTCTCACCACCTTTTCACTGTTTAACAATGTGTTTTACACTTATTTTCAGTCTTTTAGGATACCTATACTCTAATGAGAATGTGTTATAAGCAGTGATCAGAATTGAGGCAGTTGAATAACCTAAAATTCTAGCAACGTAAATAATAATGTGGACATTCCCTTCTACAAATTCCGGAACTTCTCGGAACTGATTATATTTGAATACGCGTGTTATTAAATGAAATTTGCTACAAATATACTGTCCAACAAAATGTTATTATAGTTGTGTTTTTATAGGTGCGTTACTGCTTAGCGAAACATTTTACAAGAGCGCTTTCACACAATACGAAAACAAGACAAACAATAGAAACCATTGCCGGTATCATTTATTGGCGGTTTCTATTGTTTGACATCTTGATTTCATCTTTTTAGGGAACAATTAGGTAGGTAGTAGGTTGTATAAACATTGTAAAAACTACTGCCTCTGTGGCCGAACGGTTACCATGCTGGACTGCCACGCAAAGGTCCCGGATTTGATTCCCGGGCCGGAAGAAATATTTGTATGGCCTACATTTAATTCTCCCGTGAGTTGGGATGTAATTTGTGGTTGTCTATGTGGGGCTAAGAGTGTGTGCGTTATTATTATTGTAATTATTATAATGAATACATGCATAGGTATAAATAAAACTGAATAATATGCCTATACAACTTTTATTCGACGCCTGATTTTATATGCATTGATATGGTAATATGAATCCCGGTTTCTTTTTTGTATTATCACGAAATGGGTAAGTCCATACTAAGAAAATGTTCAAACTTTAGACATAGTAGAACTAATTTTCTTATTCTACTATGCTTTGAGTAACTTAACTCCCTTAATTCAGGTCACTGGTTAAAAGTTAATGGCATCTTTTCGTTAGTTTAATGTTCAATTGTGTAAGAATAGTTGTTCAGAAAAGTTTGCTAGGCGTTGTATACAGGCTGTATATTTGAAAGTGAGACGTATTTATAGAGTGCGTTATAATTCTGATTCTGAACCCAAAAAAATAATAAACTAACGAACTTAAACTTTACAAAAAAAAAAATTTTATTTTTTTTATCGACTACTACTTGTGAACAACGTTACTTATCGAAATCTATGCACACCACTATTATTGCTCCGACTGACGCCGTGGCGAGAAGCTCGGCGGCACGGCGGCGAAAAAACAAAGCATAGATCGGCACTGTTTGCAGAGACAATGTACGCGCGGCCTTGGCCTAGCAAAGACACGTAAATTATTTGTACTTCCGCTCGCCCGAACGCTGCGCCGGCGGGGAACGCGCCTCTCGCCTGCAAAATGGATATTTATTCTAACGTCGAATTGACTGAGATTGTGCGACTTTACGCAATAAGTGGTGATAGTGTGAGGCGAGCTATTGAAATGTTCCCAAATTGGAGTTTAGGCGGAGGAGGTGAACAGTGTCGAAGTTGTTGCATGAGAGGATTATCTCAGCATTTTATACTGTGAGACAAAATGTGTTTGTCTTGATCAATTTAAAACAAAATTTACTACGATGTGCTCGACTATGCATTGTGGAAAACGGTGGACATTTTGAGCACTTGCTCCGTACCACGTAAATGTAAATAAACTGTAAATAACTAAAAAAATCAATCATTGTAAATAATTTGATTTCACATTTTTAACTACGCCAAAAACCTCAATTCTTATTAAATGATAACATAATTATCTTTTTTAGTACGTAAAACATTTCGATGATAGATCATAAGTAAAAAATAATTAACAAAAGCTAAAACGTAATCATTTCGATAACTGCTTTTTCATCATAACGTAAATGAGTAGGTGAGAGAGAGATGTGAAATCATTGTTATTGTTGCTGTCTCACTCGACACTCGCTTGGTAGTATTCCCAATGCACTCGAAATCAAGCGTAAAGGGAATCGGTTTATTCCTATGTACACTCCAAAACAAATTTGTTGATTTATTTTTTGTTCTATCCCATATCCTAATTTTGTTTTAGTCTATGTTATGATTTACTATGACATGTATCAATGTCTCACTTTCAAATATACAGCCTGTATAGAAAAGATGGTAAAATTTATGCCCTTACAAATACATTAGATTCTTACTAGAACTTTTGGCACAATATTGTAAATAAAGCACAATTGGGACAGTATGAAATGAAAATGTTATCACAAATACCATATTTCCAAATTGATTACCTAATTAAATCATTGAAATATTTGTAAGGTGCTCTTCATGCATTTAATTGTGATCCATGCTCATGGATGTCCCATTTGCAATATGATGCTCTGCATGATACTGTTATTTCTAGTTAAGATCTTGATTGTTAGAAACTTATAACATTAACAGCTATACAAATTACTCTGTAATATAGGGCATGTTATACAGCGTAGAATTTCCTATGAAACAGTATGGTACAATTGAAATAGATATTAAAACAATAGTTTTGTAAAAATAATTCTGAATGAAATCTAGAATTACTCAATGATCAGTCTGTTTTAGATGACTGTAGTTAATTAGCTAGGTTTCTCTCTGTTAAAAATGTTTTAACATTTTTCGATTTTCTTTATTTAAATAAAAACAAGTAGTGCACAAAATCTATTTAATGTGCTTCTATTTGTATATAACTGGAAGTTTCAATACTGCTTCACTTTAAATTTTTCGTTGGAACGAAACTATTTTTTCTTTTCTGCTCAAACAAACCAACATTTCGGATTGTTTGCCACCGTAAATGGCTCGAAACGTGGATTTGTTTGGAAAAACAGTAGGTATTTAGATCCCAAAGAAAATAGTTTCATTGCCTATCTTTAGCAATCGCGAAAACTGAAACTCGATTTATCTTTTTCATTATTTTTTTCACAATTTCCAATTAAATATAAAAATATTCCATATACTTGTAAATAATTAGTTACTTGAAACTTTCACGAGTTTTTTTTATATTTTAATTCGATTCAATATCTAATAAACTTATTACAGAAATCGCACCGATCCACCATCAACAAATGTCTCCGATTCGTTCGTTAAAGAAGAGCGAGTCGCCTACCAGCAGCAAACGTACTGATAAAACGCCAACTACCCCAATTAGCCTGACTCCCATCGATGAAACCAAGGCCCTAGATATGAAACAAGTCAATGGCGTTAATGGAGTCAACGGTGTGAACGGTGTTAACAGCAACCAGCTTACTCCCGAAACACCATCCCAAGAAGCTGTAAAAGAGGAGGTCGTCAAGAAATCCACAGAGGCAACTCAAGTTGCTCCAGGGGTGGTTGACACCACTGTCGTCAACGAATCTCCAAGCTCTGGAGGTATAACTGCCGCTGAAGTTCTTGACAAGGCCCGCACGAGGTTTGACAAGTTCTGGGGGAAGAAAGAAGAAGACAACGTTTAGGAGTTTCAATAGTAAATCTTTCCACTTGAAGTGTGATTTTCAAAATGACTGCTCGCTGTTTATATTATAATAAGTTGTTCCTCAATCGCAATTAAATTGATTATTGACTAATGCACTTTTATATAACTTTTTGTAATATAAATTGCAAGCAATATTGAGCTTCGTTTACATAAATAACAACAAATCTGGGAGTCATAATTCACGAGAGAAAGAATGTGAAAGAAAAGAATGTAGGAAAAAATAAAATGCAATGTAAAAATTGTCAAAAAAATAAGAAAAAAAGCTTTGCTTAATGACGACTGTAATAATATGTATTTATTAATTTAATATTTTATCATTAATTATGATTACTGACTATTTAATGGGAGTGTTTAAGAGGAGTGGCTTGTGATAGTAGTTTTGATCAATGAATAGTAATTTAACTACGGGTTAAATATTCATGAAATTCAAGTTGAACTTCGTCTTGAATTTAGATAGGCATAGATTGATTAAGTTTTGGTTAAAAATCTCGCATACAAAATTACAATTTTGTGCATAAAATAATAAATCTTAAAAGTATTCGACTGAATGTAGAAATTTCTTAGTACTTCTTTTTTAGTTTCACTACTAGAATAGGACGAAACCTTCGTTTTCGCTATCATTTTTTATAAGACATTTAGGCAGAATAGTATTAAATATAATCTCAATAGGTGCTGCAGAGTACTAAAAAACCGACCTCAAAAGTTCGTGGAACTTCATCTATTTGCCAAGTTTTATTGAAACCGGTAATTGGAAAGTGCGCGAAACGGACTCATCCCCTAGTTTGCCACGTTACGAGGTGGAATATTATCTTTAATTTTAAATTATTGATGTACCCTCTTTCCAACAAAGAAATCATTAAAATCGATTCACAAATGCCGCGTAACATACATAAAAATAACAAAAATACCAACAGTCGAATTGAACCTCCACCTTTTTTTGAAGTCGGTTATAAATTAATAACATTTATGTTAGGCGTGTTCTATTTCAAAAAGACATTGTGCTTTTTTGAAAATCATATTGCCGTGTTAACCGTATTATATTACATTGTATATTAATTTTACATTTACAATTGCTTCATAAACAAACACATGTATACATTACAAAATCGAGCCGTCCAAAGTAGTATTTTTGGCAAAGTTGATTTAAATTTTTTTGCAAAAAAAATCTAGTACAAGAATTCCGAACGTTAATTTCCAGCTAGCCAATCAGTAACTTGGATTTTCGGCGGGAATAAAATTTCTGCAAACTAAACGTCAAAAAAGTTTTGAACTTGAATTTCACTTTATCTTGTAATAAAATGGAATTATCAAGAAAATCTTGCCGTTTATGTTTAACAGTAACGGATTTCAACGTTTCGTTGTACAGCAATTACTGCAGAAAAACGAATATGATAGACAAAATTCTCGTTTGTCTTAAAATTGTTATCGAAGAAACTGACAGTGTGAATACGATTTGTTATAAATGCGCTAATAGCGTTGAAAAATATTACGACTTTATAACTTACATCAAGAAATCACAGACGAAACTGGCTAGTGGTTATGAAAATCGACAAAGGACTTTCGATGATTCGCCTAACCTCACAAATCGTCGTCACGTAACTTCCTACGTAAGAGAACAGGTAATAGACGCAGACTATACGTTTTCTTTTCTTGAAAATGGCGACGGGAAAAAAGAACCACAGGTATCTAGTCCATTTTTCTCCTACTTCTCCCCGCCCAACGTTTTACATAAGCAATCCAATGAAACCTGGAAATCTCCTAGAACCGTGCATGATGTTAAAAAGGAGAACTTTAAAAGACCTTGCAACAAATCTAAACATAATTCAAGGGACTTATTCGAGTCTCAGTCGCAGGAGATAGGTGAGCCTAGATCTTTAGATTGGAAACTAACGCCTGATGAAAATATTTTGAAGCGTATTAGGGACAAGTGTTTTGGAAGATCTGATTTTTAGCCTAATTTTACCTTTTTTTGTTAAAACGTGATAATATCCATCTCACTATTACTGTGATAGGATAAGTGAGAACATAAAAACTGAGAAACTTTAATTCTGGCGCATCTTAAAGAGCATGTAGGTATTTCAAGTTAACATTTATTTATTAATAAGAGACGTAATACACTTGTCAAGCAGCAGCGTTGATATCTTCAGCATTGTTGATATAGAAGTGTCCTAATTATAAAACACTTCACTGGTTTTCAAGAATAGTGACTCAAATGTATAACAGTTAATTTTTGCACTTATTATGCAGCAGAATTCAGAATGCATTAAATTTTATTGTGAATAACAAACCGAGCTTTCCAGTGGTAAAAAACATCCCATGACGACATTGAGGTGTTATATGATTGGTCGATTTAAACCTGATGAAGTAATTAGATGATAGATAGACCATTATCCTAGAAAGCCTTATGTGTGCTGGCAAGTGGTTTTTCCAACTTAATACCTATTATTTTATAATTAACTTTATGTAACAAATTTCGTTTTCTATGGAAATCCATAGACAAAGGGCGAAGCTACGTAAACCCAAAAAGAAATTAATTGATTTCGATAGCATTTTTGATTTGCTCATAAAATTATTAAAATATTTTGGTGTGTAATTGTTAAGAATAGGTATGATATTTAAATAACAAATTAAACAACTTTTGTCTGATTATAAACATAATTCGTTTGATTGTTCCTGGAAAGCAATACTTAATAATTATTATATAATACTAAGTTCACCATAATTTTGTTATACTACACTCAGCTCAAAAATGGTTGGCTGCTGGCTGCAAGTATGTATGCAGGAGAAAGGGGGTAAATTAACCATTGAAACAATGAGTACACATTATGCACTCTTAGGCAAACACATGTCAGCAAGCCAAGAAAACCGAAGAACTCATTAATGTTCGTCTTGGCTCATAAATCAATGGCTGGTTGCAATGAACAGCTGTACAGGCTCTGAAAAAGCAACCCAAAAAATAGTTTGTTAACAACTTAGAGCAGTGAGATTTCAGCGGCGTGTCATTTCCGGCACAAATGCAGAAAACGGTACTACGCAATACACGTATAATTCACCGGTTCATGAAACCGATTCCCTGGCTGATTGTGCCATTGCCGGGAAATATTGTCTCTCCCATCTGAAGATGCAAAATTTCTCTTTGATAGCGAGAATCTGAATAGATATAATTGAAACATTGGCATTGGGTTCACTTCCACCACCACTGAATGTTGTAGCACATGTTTTTCTGTGGAAAATGTATTAAATTATGTTGTTAACTTATGACATACTTCTTGGGTGCAAGTAACTTAAGCTTTTACATTGTGGCAATCTACTGGCCTATCTACGCTTGATATTTCTCCCTTTCTGCCGCTAAAACATTTTCATAGGACAGTCTTTAGTTTGAAACACACCCCAATTTCCAACGCAACACAGTCCATCTTGCTTGGAAGGATTTCCATTGTTTACAATATTCAAGAAAATATACATGTGGTATTATTTTATTATAAAACGTTAAACAATTATAATTGAAAAAACTGATTGTGAAAACTGTGACTTGGTAATTGTTCAATATTGTTTGACAAATTAACAGAGACTGCTCTTTTATTTTCTTACATAACCTGCTTTTATCGTTTGTACTCGTTATTGCGTTTTGAAAAGACAGCATCACTAAAAAATAATACATAATTTCAAGAGGTCTGAAAGTCAAATGCAATAGTTTCTGTTAACATGTCGATTATTTAAATATTTTACGATTCAGCATATTTAAAGAAATGAAGACAGGTTTAAGGTTGTTAAGTTTGAATTAAAATTTTGTTTTCATGCACAAACATTTGAAGTTTGAAAGCGTCTTTTTTGAGGATTATTTATCATAGCTTTCTCTCTGTGTTATTCACATCGTTCCCCGAGTGAGCGTCTTTGATGACTCTAGTAAGGATTTCAGTAAAAAGTTTCAGCTTCTTGCATAATAGAAACCAAAACAACTTTGAGAAATCTGTAGTTGTTCTTACCCAACTACGTAACTTATAGTAAAATTGTCCCAACTTACAATGCTTAGAAGTTATGTATGGAATCCTCAAAACGGCGAATAATTATAAAATAAACTCTATAGCAATAAACATAGCTTTGCTACTGATTTATAGCGAGTGATTCTGTTAACGTCAAAGTGGACACCTAAATAAAATGTTTGAAAATATTTCATTGTTTCCTTTTAGTGAAAAATTATATTGAAGTCCCATTACAAGAAATTTGTTTATATGACGGAATGTGAGCTTGTATTGGTCTTTCGTATACATAACTTTACAAGTGCGGTATTTGATTGGCGAAATAAAGAGCTGACCTAGAAAGCAACATCGGAAGAGTACGGCCACGAGGAACATTTCGGTACAAATCGAAATATCGATAATGCAAGTAAAGCAATTTACATAATTTACAACTCAGGGGAAGAAAGCTGGAAAACACAGCAGTACTTGGAATCCAATTTAGGTTTTGTTCCCCGCCAAACTGTTCTTCAACAGCAGTGACACCTAGCGACGTAGTTGGTAACCACAACATTATTTTGCAGATAATTTAAATTAATTTTGTTTGAAAAACTAAATTAATTACATAATATGTCAATCCGTAACGTAGGCTTCGTCGGGAAGACACAAATATAAATCAGCAGCAGGCTTCGTCACAAAGAAATTAATCATTCAATTCGCTAGACTTAGTCATTTCCATTTAACTATAAGAATGAAACAGGACCGCTCTGAATCTTAGCTATCTCAAACGTCCCCATAACATTGGCTGCATTACCGCGCTGAATAGCCAACGAAATTTGTTGCACCAAGTAAGATCCAGAGCGTGGATCATAGCCTCTTTCTCTAAGTCGACGACCCAACTCCCTGATGAGTTCTTTGGCCTCCGCACCCCAAGTCACTGCAATCGGCACAAAATCGTACTTCGGCTCCAAGGCACTGTCATTGGCATGTTTCAATATTGCCGCATACTCTGCAGCTGACCCGGCAGATCTGGTGGTGTAACTCAGGTGGGACGGTGCAAACGTACTAACACACGTAGCGTCGGATAAAAGACACCGGCCCTTCTGCCACGAAACCAGTGTAAGGCGACGGCCTCTTGCCATCTGTACAACACAGCCCCGGAGGCTCTAAGACACAGGGCACGGTAGCCAATACTAAAGC